CCTCCATCCCTCTCCTCCACCGCCTCTTGAGCTCCAGGTAAAATCTCCCCGCCGCCTCCACCACGGCTGTATGTATATCCACGCGGGTCTGCGCCATAGCTCGCACCATGACAGAGCCCCCGAGCTCCTGGTGCTCCAGAAAACGAGTGCTCACGGACAGAAGAGCCTCCTGTCGGGGGGGGGGGACGCGGCGTGTGTGTTTTCAGGAGCGCGTGGATGCGGGGGGTTGGAGGGGTTGGAGGGGTGGGAAAGGGCCCGGGGGAAAGGAGAGAGGGGGAGGGGTGAGTGGGGGGACGTGCGAGGAGCGTCAGCCCACGTCGTGTTGCACCTCTTAGTCGCCGCTGTCGCTTCCAAATAATGAACCCTTTTCCGGACCTCCAACCAATTCCCAACCAACTCCCAACCAACTCCCAACCAACTCCCCCAGCCCACCTTTGGCCACTCGCTGAACCAGTCAATGGTGGTGGCTGCCAGGAGGGACGGGAAGCGGCGGCACCGGTCCCTGAACGCCTCCCCGACCGGGCTAAGACACAGCACCACGTGCAGGTTGTCGCGGGCGCGGCCGATGAAGGCGCGCCACAGCGAGTCACGCGTGTCATCAAAACCCTGGAAAAGGGGTAGCACGGTGGTGGTGGTGGTGGTGGGGTGGTGTGGGGAGAGAAAAGTGTGTGGAGGGTGGCGAATTGTGAAAATTCAATCGACAAAATCAGAGGCGGAGGGGCACAATGCTGTGTGGAAGGGGGGTGGTGTGCAAAGCGCAAGGCGGAGTGAAGTGGGGGGGCCGGGGAGGGGCGGGGAGGGGCGGGAGGAGGTTATAAAGGTGGCTAGGGGAGTCAAGACGGGAAAGGGAGGTGTTATGCAACATAGAACCTTGCAGACGCCCACATATTCCCCTAACACCCTAACTCCGTACATATGTCGTACAGTACACACATCCTCCAATGCTATCATCCCTTCATGCCTTCGCGATAGCGCTTCCACCCCCACCGCACGCTCCACCACTCCCCACCCCACCCCAACCCCCCTCCCCTCCCCTCCCCACCCCACTACCCCCTCCCCTGCCTACGTATATCTCCCCTGCCTCCAACCCCCCGCCCATTCCCCACCATCCAAGTAATAGTAGCCTCCCTCCTCTTCTTCCATAATAAATATATTATATATTTTTCCATATCTTCCCCCTCCCACCTCTACCCCCCTCCCCCCCACCCCCACCTGCGCCGCCGCCCAGTGCCGCAGCTCCGCATACACCTTCTCCCTCTCCTCCAACCCGAACAGCCCGGTGATCTCCCCACTCGACAACAAATTGGACAAATCCTCCACGAACATGTCCGTCGTCAGGATGTGCTCGTCGGGAAGAAGGAAGGCCACCGGCTTGCCGTCAAGACCGGCCAGGCTGTAGTACGGCATACGCATACACATACACATACACGTACGCGTACGCGTGCACGTACATGCATGCACACGGGTGCATGGGAAGGGGGGGGTGGGGGTGAGGAGGGGAAGGGAAGGGAAGGCGGGCTTAAGGGGTGATGACAGGGGGGTTTAACCCCCTCCTCATCCTCATCCTCATCATCCTCATCGTCTGGAGGGATGAGTTAAGGGCAAGACGGAGGGACCCAGGTAGTGACCACCATTGGCAATGTTGGACACCAACTCCCCTTTCGGACCCCCTTCGCCTTTACTGGACCGGTCACCACCGTCCCAACCACTTTTGGCCTCACGTGACAGACCTCCGCCTTATACATTTTGACCCCGCTCTAGCTCAATACACACACACACGTTCCCTCCGGATAGTTTCCTCACTCTCCCCGCCCCTCCCCTCCCCTCCCTTCCTTTCCCCTGACCATTCATCCAATCCAAACCCCCAAACCACATACGTACACATAAATACATACATACACACACCGGTAGAGTTTTTTGAGGTCCTCCCGCCACTCCACCATGCCGTACACTCGACTGAGCTCCAGGGTAGACACCTGCCGTACACAGTCGT